TCCTCCAGTCCGTGATTATGTAGTGTGGCTTAACCTTACTTACCCGAGATACAACTTGAGGCTGATAGTGCTGGCCAGTAAGGTCCTGCCTCACTTACCACTGTAATGCTTGCTGATGAAAAGGTGGAGTAAAGATGAGCACAATATAATTATGAAAATCACAGGAACTCTCAAGGCAAAGTGTGATGACTGGAGGAACAGAAATAATAATGGTAATAAAAGATAACAACACAAAAGACGACAAGAGAGATAGACAAGACGTGGAAGACAACACAGAGTAAAGAAAGAACGAGGAAAACCAACAGTAGAGCTGAGAGAAATCAAGAGAAAATAGATGAAAGAGATAAAGGAGAAACTTGAGATGTGGTCCGTCAGAACGAGCCATTGATCAGCTGATGTTGGTAAACAAACAACAGTGGAAGATGGCCGGGGGGCCTCTGTCAACAGTGATCGTTGTGGTGAAAAAGAGTGAGAATGACCCGTGGCTTCTGGTGAAATGTGGTTGTTGTTGTGGTTATTGGGATTTTAGTAAATGTAGTGGCTGTGGTTGGTAGATATGGTGATGGTGGTGGTTGTTAATGTGAATACTGTGATGCTGTTAATCGTGCATGGTAGCAGTCATGGTGAGGGTTGTGGTAGGGATGACGGTGTGGTCAGGTATGAGAGGCGTAGCGGTAATAGTAGTAGTAGTAGTAGTAGTAGCGCAACAGGGGAGGTGGATACCAGTGAAGTAAACAAGATTCGAAGGTCCATTACGACAGAACGACAGCACAGCCAAAGTGATAAGTTGCAGCAACTGTTGCTGCAAGTACCAGAGAATTTGAAAAAAAATGACTATAGCGCAGGAGGTGGGCGCCTCGAACTGGTTAACTACGTTACCGATAAGGGCAAATGGTTTCAGTCTCATTAAACAAGAATTTACAGATGCCAATGCTCTAAGGTACGGTAGGCCAGGAGAAGGTTTGCCCTCCCAATGCGTGTGTGGCTCTTCCTATGACGTCGATCACGCCATGGTATGCAAGAAAGGGGGCTTCATATGCATGAGGCATGGCGAAGTTCGGGATCTGACAGCAAAAATGTTGAAGGAAATCTGCCGTGATGTCAGGGTAGAACTGACCCTCCTTCCATTGGACGGTGAGAATTTCCAATATTGGACTTCAAACACATTCAACGAAACCCGTGTTGACGTCAGTGCTCGAGGATTCTGGACACGGGGGCAGCGAGCCTTCTTCGACATCAGGATTTTTTATCCCATGGCTGCATGTCACCGTAACTTACCTCTCGATGCTGCACACAGGAGGAACGAGAACGACAAGATAAGGGCATACGGGGAGAGAATTCAGAACGTTGATCAGAGCTTCACTCCTCTAGTGTTCACAACCTCTGGTGGGATGGGACCAAGTGCAAGATGCTTCTACGCCAGACTCGGGGAGGTGCTATCCGAACAGAAGCAGCAGCCCAGAAGTTATGTTACACCTGGATGAGATGTCGACTGTCCTTCTCTCTCCTTAGGTCGGCTTTACTCTGCCTCAGGGGAACGAGAGCATCGGCCCCAAAGCCGACAACAGTCGCAGATATTGACTATGAGGCAACAGTCACTGAATGCCACATAGATCTGCGGCTCAACTAACTCAACACAGTTAGGATAGCTACTTATGTATTAGGATATTTAATATTAAGGTAATAGAATGGTGGCGAAGGAACGGCTATTGGGGGAGGCTGGAGGCCATTATTAAAAAAATAATAGTAGTAGTAGTAAGAGTAGGAGTAGTGGCGCTGGAAATGGTGATAAAAGTAATGATGGTGATTGTGATAGACAGTGGTTGGTGCTGGTGGTGACAATAGTGGTGGTGGCGCCGACAGAACTGGGAAAAAAAGAAAAAAATTGATGGTAGTAGATCTGTTTGAGGCAACACTGGTACAATATACTGTGATTATTACGTGTATCTCTCTCTCTCTCTCTCAAGAAAATTAATTGGGTCCAGTTTACTGTGGTTCGTGCAAGAGTCGGCGGATTAATGGTGTAAAATCACTAAAATTAGCATATTCTATTATCTCAAGACTGTGTGTGTGTGTGTGTGTGTGTGTGTGTGTGTGTGTGTGTGTGTGTGTGTGTGTGTGTGTGTGTGTGTGTGTAACAAATGACAGCATTCATGCTGACACTAACTGTACGAGCATCGAGGCTACCATTATCCCTGAGCAACTACGCTGGACCGACCATGTTATGCGCATGGACGACAGTAGACTGCCAAAGCAGCTACTTTACAGTCACCTAACGAATAGTAAACGTAACGCTGGCGGGCAACTGAAAAGGTATAAGGATAACCTTAAGACAAACCTGAAAAGGTGCCAAATCGGCCCCCTCACCTGGGAGTCGATTACTCCACATCGTAACGCTTGGAGGAGCACCACACGAGAAGGTGTCAATACTTTCGAGTTAGTCCGACTGCATGCCGACGCAGACAAACGCCAACGCCGGAAAGACGCTGCCACCGCCCCTCCAGCACTAGATGTAGCCCCCCACATGTGCAACAACTATGGATGACTCTGCCGGTCCCGTATCGGCCTCTGCAGTTACCTCAAAACTCACCAACGAAGGTGACATCCCTAATAACTCATATCATTGTACCATAGCTGGATGATCGTCAAACTCGATTCCGGGTGACAGCAAAGTAGTAGTAGTGTGTGTGTGTGTTACAGGTAATGCACGAGATGTTTGAATACTTCCTACTGTAATAATAATAATAATAATAATAATAATAATAATAATAATAATAATAATGATAATAATAATAGTAATAACAATAAATAACAAATACTACTATTATTACTACTACTAATAATAATAATAAATAATAATATAGTATAGTATAATATAATAATTGTCTCGGCTTTGATGAAGAAGAGTTCATCTTAAACTTTACAAGTGTAATATTCTTTTAATTGAGTTTATAAGACGGGCAGATTAACCAGGCCTCAGCAGGTTGTGATGGTAAGGTTATGTTATGAACGGGGTTGTGATGGTGGGTTAGGTTAGGTTATTAGGTCTATATTTTTTATTTAATTATTGAGAGTTTTTCATCGTATAAACTACCAATGCTTCTAGGCTCATTATTCACCAAACTACTGAAAAAAAAATCCTATGGTCCTCTCGAAGGTAAAATGCTACAAGATGATTAAATTTATATACAGTATATATAAGGCTCCCGTATCAACCAGTCGAACCCAAACAATTACTGTATACATCAGAGAGGAAGAGCAGCCACACACCCCACCAGCACAACACGAACCCTGTAGGAGGCAGGAAAAAAAATATACCCGACCAAGAACATGTCAAGAGAACCTAAAACGATCTGTCACGACTTGATTGAACCGGAATTAGATTCGTAGATGGTATGGGTGTTTTTGACAAGGTATTGACGTGTTGATGTGGTGAGAGAGAGAGAGAGATAACTATTAAAGATAATTTACGTTTGAATGAAGATACAATGATTATATGAGTATTATAATAATGATGATGATAATATAACAACAGCAACGACAATGATGATGATAATAATAATAATAATAATAATAATAATAATAATAATAATAATAATAATAATAATAATAATAATAATAATAATAATATCTGTCATTTTCAGTAAGTTAGTAAGTCCTCTTCATCAGTATTTGTCTTCATAAACAGGCCCCATTCCCTACCCCCCAATCTCACCTTCCTCTTCACCCGCCCACCCCTCTTCACCATCACCTCACCCCCGCTCCTCCCCACCCCTCATCACCATCACTCCCTGCCACACATCACCCCAATGGTCGTCTAGTGACACTGAATATGGAGATTTACGTCAAGAAGTAACATGTGAGCTATTTTAGTGACAGATCCAATCCCGTGTGTAGTGTTCACTGTCCCTGCCGTCAACGTCACCACCTCGCTAGATTTAGTAGTGGACAGGTGTTTACATCCTGGGGGTTAAATTTTCCCAAAGGGGGTAAATTGAGTTTTTTCCGACAGGTATAATGGGTGATAGACAGTGTAAGAAGTGACAACAAGTATTTTTGCACACGGACAGGAAGGTTTAGTAGTCACTAGTTCACGTCTTTGTTTTCATGAATAAATTACCACAATCTTGTTTGTCTTTAGTTATGGATTGGATGTGATGTTGTTATTTTCTTGTTTACATAAATTTATTAATAAATGAATTATTCAAGAGTTTAGTTTGTGGTATAATAATCATCACATAATAGCACCCAGCTCCGGTGAACTAACTTTCAGGGATAGTTAAGCCTTGGTCATGTAGGGTGATGGGTGAGTGTGAGGTGTGTGTGTGTGTGTGTGTGTGTGTGTGTGTGTGTGTGTGTGTGTGTGTGTGTGTGTGATCCTCCGGTCTGTACAAAAGGAAGCACTTTTCGTCAGAGGTATACGATCAAGACAAGAAACAGTCGGTCTCTTGGAGGTACCTGGGTGAAGGCTTCGACTAGGTCTAAAACAATGGCCTTGCTCTCTAAGGGTCGTGGTACATTATTTTTTCAACCCATATTGGAACAGCAGGTTGTATCCTCTGGTCGACCCTATTACCTGAAGCCGTAAAAAAAGTTGCAGGGAACTCATTGAGTGTGGCTGTAAAGGTTTACTGCGGTTAAGATGTTATGTGCAGGTGTACTGACTCTAGGTGTACTGCACAGGACACACAGTACTCAGGGTGTGCTGGATCTCAAGTACATCCAGCCCTTAGTATAACAAGCCTTGATAATCCCACATATTAATTTTATTACCATACAATATTAATTGATCCACCTCAATTTCAATATGTTTATCAAAATAACCTCATATGGTGTATAACTTTGTTTATTGTTGATATGTTGACGATAACTTACAAACTTACTTAGATTTTTTTACTTAGAATTAGATTTAGTTGTTTATCTTTAATGTATAGTTTGTAGAGTTTCTTCACACTACACCAGGAGACACACTAACAACTTCTGTCCTTCACCACCTTCAGGAGTGTACTGTAACGCTACCTGGGACTCGCTCTATTGCTGGCCGGCGACGAAGGCTGGGACAACAGTGAACGAGTCCTGCACTACGGTCTTCAGTGATGTACCAGACTTCCGGGACCCTGATGGTGATACCCCCCACCTAGGACCCCCTCAGCCATCACCTCCCAGCACCCTCACCTCCCTAGCATCCGATCAGCAACTTCCCCACTAGCACCTCCTTCAGCCTCAACCACCTCCCCCCACCACCATCCTAGTGTCAGCATAAAGAATAATACGAGAGAGTAATTCCCTATTTATACAACCAAAACTACCCCTTATGGTGGGATTCGAACTAAGGACACCCAGAATACTTACCTCAGACAATAGCCACTCAGCCATAAACGAGTCATAAAGTTACGTCTCTCTCAGGTTAAGTCTCACTGCCGTCACACAACAGACACTATCTCTAAAGGATTGTGATCTGACATACTGTACACTTCAGCTTCACCCATGTGTCATATATACAGGGGTTTTTGTCACTTAGTCATAGTAAGTCGTACAGACAATAACAGGACCGGTCATTGGTACACAACTGCTTCACCCTTGTACTAGTATGATCATTTCTCGGTCAGTCAGTCAGTCAGTCAGTCAGTCACACAATTAGTCAGTCAGTCAGTTAAGTAATTTGGCAGCAGGGTTTACCATTAGACAACACATTATACTTCCAATGTCTTCCCAGGCGGTAGTACCTCCCTGTTTGATAGCTGCCTACTGAATGAGTGAGTGAAACAGTGAGTGAGTGAGCGAGTGAGTGAGAGAATGAGTGAGTGAGTGAGCGAGTGAGTGACTGAACGTCGTAGTCAACAATACATTATGTAACAGCAGCCTCGACTGTTTTATACCTTACGTTAATTATGCATTAGTGTCTCTCTCTCTCTCTCTCTCTCTCTCTCTCCACGTACTACTGGGGGTTAGGATAGGTTAGGTTAGGTTAGGTTAGACTGTATTTTATATCACAAACAAATTCTCAGGAGTGAAAAACAAAGATACGGACAGATAAATATGAAGAAGTGGGGAAAGGGAGAAAGAAAAGAGAATAAACAAATAATCTAAGAGACAGAGAGAGAAAGAAAGAGATAGTGAAGATATAACGAGAGATAAGATAACGAAATTGAAGGCCATTAGAAATTAGTGGCTCATACAAAACAAGAAAGCCAATGTACCATTATACCAGCACCACTGTACCATTATACCAGCACCACTGTACCACACTATACCAGCAACCACTATACCATTATACCAGCAACCACTGTACCACACTATACCAGCACCACTGTACGACTATACCAGCACCACTGTACCAATGTCTTCTCCCCCTCACAGCGTTGGCGTTCCGTGAGTGTGACAGGTCCGGCTCCTGGCTCTGGGGTGACTGGACAAATTACTCCCAATGTCTCAACGTTATAGAACACCAGGTCAGTACAGGTCATTACAGGTCATTTCAGGTAATTACAGGTCACTCAAGGTTATTACAGGTTGCTAAAGGCCACTACAGGTCACTCATTAATCCCTGTATTCCTTCAAACATACATACATACATACATACATACATACATACATACATACATACATACATACGACGAAAAGGAGGAGGAGGAGGAGGGCGAGATGAGGATAAAAAAGAATAAGAAGAACCAGAACAAGAACAACAAGAGCAACAAGAACATGAAGGATGAAGGACGCGGCAGGTAATCGGGTTAACCTTTAACGATGATGATGTGGCTTTTGACAACTTCGAACCGTAAATCCTGACAAGATTTTTTCTGACTAAAATTAGAGCCGAGTTTCTGAGGGAAGTTATAGGTACAGAGTGTGTGTGTGTGTGTGTGTGTGGTGTGTGTGTGTGTGTGTGTGTGTGTGTGTGTGTGTGTGTGTGTGTGACAGAAAGTTACATATAGAAAGACAATTTAAAACAGATGAAAGGAGTGCTCAGGTGTAGGCCAGGTACAGGGAGGTAAACCTTTAATTATGCATCGGAGATTAGGTTAGGCTAGGTTAGGTTAGGTTAAGATTACATAGATTACAGGTACAGTGTCAAGTAGCGGAGATTAGATTAGGTTAGGTTAGGTTCGATTAAGATTACATAGATTACAGGTACAGTGTCAAGTAGCGGAGATTTGATTAGGTTAGGTTAGGTTAGATTAAGATTACATAGATTACAGGTACAGTGTCAAGTAGCGGAGATTAGATTAGGTTAGGTAAGGTTAGATTAAGATTACATAGATTACAGGTACAGTGTCAAGTAGCGGAGATTTGATTAGGTTAGGTTAGGTTAGATTAAGATTACATAGATTACAGGTACAGTGTCAGGTAGCGGAGATTAGATTAGGTTAGGTTAGGTTAGATTAAGATTACATAGATTACAGGTACAGTGTCAAGTAGCGGAGATTAGATTAGGTTAGGTTAGGTCAGATTAAGATTACATAGATTACAGGTACAGTGTCAGGTAGCGGAGATTTGATTAGGTTAGGTTAGGTTAGATTAAGATTACATAGATTACAGGTACAGTGTCAAGTAGTGGAGATTAGATTAGGTTAGGTTAGGTTAGGTTAAGATTACATAGATTACAGGTACAGTGTCAAGTAGCGGAGATTTGATTAGGTTAGGTTAGGTTAGGTTAAGATTACAGATTACAGGTACAGTGTCAGGTAGCGGAGATTAGATTAGGTTAGGTTAGGTTAGATTAAGATTACATAGATTACAGGTACAGTGTCAGGTAGCGGAGATTTGATTAGGTTAGGTTAGGTTAGATTAAGATTACATAGATTACAGGTACAGTGTCAAGTAGTGAGATTAGATTAGGTTAGGTTAGGTTAGGTTAAGATTACATAGATTACAGGTACAGTGTCAAGTAGCGGAGATTTGATTAGGTTAGGTTAGGTTAGGTTAAGATTACATAGATTACAGGTACAGTGTCAGGTAGCGGAGATTAGATTAGGTTAGGTTAGGTTAGATTAAGATTACATAGATTACAGGTTCAGTGTCAAGTAGCGGAGATTAGATTAGGTTAGGTAAGGTTAGATTAAGATTATATAGATTACAGGTACAGTGTCAAGTAGCGGAGATTAGATTAGGTTAGGTTAGGTTAGATTAAGATTACATAGATTACAGGTACAGTGTCAAGTAGCGGAGATTAGATTAGGTTAGGTTAGGTTAGATTAAGATTACATAGATTACAGGTACAGTGTCAGGTAGCGGAGATTAGATTAGGTTAGGTAAGGTTAAGATTACATGATTACAGGTACAGTGTCAGGTAGCGGAGATTTGATTAGGTTAGGTTAGGTTAGATTAAGATTACATAGATTACAGGTACAGTGTCAAGGAGATTAGATTAGGTTAGGTTAGGTTAAGATTAAGATTGTTAAGGTACAGTGTCAGGTAGTTGAGATTAAATTAGATTACATGTAAGTGTCAGGTAGATTAGCATAGATTACATGTACAGTGTCAGGTAGCGGAGATTTGATTAGGTTAGGTTAGGTTAGATTAAGATTACATAGATTACAGGTACAGTGTCAGGTAGCCTCACGTATCATACCTACAACAGATAATTACTAACAGTCAAACACCGTCACTTCTGTAAGCAGGCGACGTCATGGGTAGTGGATTCAGTACGGTACATCATCTTCCTGGGCGCCCTGCTCTCTCTCGTCACTCTCACCATCACCATCTTCATCTTCACATACTACAGGTAAGCCTCCCACCCCACCTCCTCACACCTTCTCACCCATCTTCACATACTACAGGTGCCTCCCACCCCACCTCCTCACCTTCACCTTCACCCATCTTCACACCCACTGAAATCTTAAGCCATTGGGTAACAGTTTCATGAATCTTTTATCTCTTGTCTTTGTTTTCGTTCATTCATTTCTGTTTTGTAGATGAGAAGAGATGTAGATACAAGACCAAGAAAGACACTCTAAAAGGACCACATTTAATTGAACAGTATTGAGAAAAGCAAGGACAATATAATTTCTATCCCCATCTTGAACCTTTATTACCGATCTCACCAAAAACATTCTGTGTTTTTAGATATTGAGAGAACAATAACACTTCTTGAAAGTTTTTTACCAATACCAGTTAAGGGGGAATGAGAATTACCTGCCCAAATCTTACCTGCCCAAGTCTTACCTGCCCAAGTCTTACCTGCCCAAGTCTTACCTGCCCAAGTCTTACTCTGCCCAAGATTATCTGCCCAATCTTACCTGCCCAAGTCTTACCTGCCCAAGTCTTACCTGTCTAAGTCTTACCTGCCCAAGTCTTACCTGCTGCCAAGTCTTACCTGCCCAAGACTTACCTGCCCAAGCTTATCTAGTCCAAGTTCCATCCAAGACTTTGCCCAAGTCTTACCTGCCCAAATCTACCTGCCCAAGTCTTACCTGCCCAATCTTACCTGCCCAAGACTTACCTGCCCAAGCCTTACCTGCCCAAGTCTTACCTGCCCAAATCTTACCTGCCCAAGTCTTACCTTGCCCAAGCCTTACCTGCCCAAATCCTCATCTTGCCCAAGTCTTACCTGCCCAGTCTTACCTGCCCAAGTCTACCTTCCCAAGTCTTACCTGCCCAAGATTTACCTGCCCAAGTCTTACCTGCCCAAGATACCTGCCCAAGACTTACCTGCCCAAGTCTTACCTGCCCAAGACTTACCTGCCCAAATCTTAACTGCCCAAATCTTACTCCAGTCTGCCCAAATCTACCTGCCCAAGACTTACCTGCCCAATCTGCCCAAGTCTTACCTGCCCAAGTTACCTGCCCAAGACTTACCTGCCCAAGTCTTACCTGCCCAAGTCTTACCTGCCCAAGTCTTACCTGCCCAAGTCCTGCCCTGCCTGTCTTACCTGCCCAAGACTTACTCCTCCTGCCCGGCTCCTAAGACTTACCTGCCCAAGTCTTACCTGCCCAAGATCTGCCCAAGTCTTACCTGCCCAAGCAGACTTACCTGCCCAGTCTTACCTGCCCAAGACTTACTAAGTCTTGCCCTGCCCGTCTTACTGCCCAAGACTTCTGCCCAAGTCTTACCCACCTGCCTTCCGCAAGTCTTACCTGCCCAAGTCTTACCTGCCCAAGTCTTACCTGCCCAAGTCTTACCTGCCCAAGTCTTACCTGCCCAAGTCTTACTCTTGCCTGTCTTACCTGCCCAAGATCTTACCTGCCCAAGTCTTACCTGCCCAAGACTTACCTGCCCAAGTCTTACCTGCCCAAGACTCCTGCCCAAGTCTTACTTGCCCAAGTCTTACCTGCCCAAGACTTCCGTCAAGTCTTATCTGCCCAAGTCTTACCTCCAAGTCTTACCTCCCAAGTCTTACCTGCCCAAGACTGCTCCAAACTTGACTCCCCATTCCAAGTCTTATCCTGCCCAAGACTTACCTGCCCAAGATCTGTCCACTCGCCCAAGTCTTATTGCCTACCCAAGCTCCATGTCTAAGACTTACTGCCCAAGTCTTATCTTGCCCAGCCAGTCTTACCTGCCCAAGTCTTACCTGCCCAAGACTTCTGCCCAAGACTTACTCTGTTTTGCTGCTAAGTCTTGCTCCAAGTCTTCACTCCGCCCAAGTCCCTGCCCAAGTCTTACCAGCCCAGCAAGTCCACCTGCCCAAGTCTTACTCTGCCCAAGTCTTGCAGCCCAAGTCTTCTGCCTAAGTCTTACCTGCCGTTCAAGTCTCAAGTCTTACCCTGCCCAAGTCTTACCTGCCCAAGTCTCTTGTTCCTGCCCTAAGACTTACCTGCTCCAGACCCTGCCCAAGACCTCAAGACTTAAGTCTTACCTAAGTCTGCCCAAGTCTTAGCTTCTGCCCAAGTCTTACCTGCCCAAGATCTTACCTGCCCAAGTCTTACCTGCCCAAGACTTCTTACCTGCCCAAGTCTTACCTGCCCAAGTCTTACCTGCCCAAGTCTTACCTGCCCAAGTTTACCTGCCCAATCTTACCTGCCCACTCCAAGTCTTACCTGCCCAAGCCACCTTAGTCTGCCCAAAGTCTTACCTGCCTGTCTACCTGCCCAAGTACTCATCTTACCTGCCCAATGCTTACCGCCCAAATCTTTCACTCCGTCCAAGTCTTACCTGCCCAAGCATCTCACCTGCCCAGTCTTACTCCAATCTAGCTACCTGTCTTACCTGCCCAATCTTTACTTAGCTCAAGTCTTACCTACCCAAGTCTTAAGTCTTACTCCAAGTCTTATATTCTCTGTCTAAGTCCATTCCAAGTCCATCTGTCTGCCCAATTCCCGGCCCGTCTTATCTCAACTGCCCATCTTATTCCTGCCCAAGTCCACCTGCCCAAGTCTTACCTGCCCAAGTCCATCTGCCCAAGTCTTACCTACCTAAGTCTTCTGCCCAATTCTTACCTGCCCAAGTCTTATGCCCCAAGTCTTACCTCCAGTCTTACTTCAGTCTGGTTTCATCTGCCCAAGTCTTACCTGCCCAAGTCTTACCTTGTCTTACCTGTTTTACCTGCCCGTTTATCCTCAAGTTCTACTCTGCCCAAGTCTTACTCCAAGTCTTACCCAATCCAAGTCTTACCTACCCAAGTCTTACCTGCCCAAGTCTCACTTAGCCCAGTCTTACATACCTGTCTTACCTGCCCGTCTTACCTGCCCAAGTCTTCACCTACCCAAGTCACCTGTCTTACCTGCCCAAGTCTCACCTGCCCAAGTCTTACCTGCCCAAGTCTTACATACCCAAGTCTTACCTGCCCAAGTCTCACTCCAGCTCAAGTCTTACATACCAAGTCTTACCCACGGACTTACTGCCCAAGTCTTACATGCCAAAGCCTACCTGCCCAAGTCTCACCTGCCCAAGTCTTACATACTGTCCAACCTGCCCAAGTCTTACATACCCAAGTCTTACCTGCCCAAGTCTTACCTGCCCAAGTCTTACATACCCAAGCCTACCTATCCAAGACTCTAACCTGCCTAAGTCTTACCTGCCCAAGTTTTACCCACCAAGATCTCTGTCCAAGTCTAAGTCTTACCTGTCTAAGTCTCACCTGCCCAAGTCTTACATCCAAGTCTCACCTGCCCAAGTCTTAACATCCCAAGTCTACTCATGCCCTGTCTTACCCACTGCCCACCTTACCTAAGCCTTACCTGCCCAGTTTACTCCACCCAAGTCTTCTACTCTAAGCCTTACCATCTAAGTCTTACCTGCCCAAGTCTTACCTGCCCAAGTCTCACCTGCCCAAGTCTTACCATACCCAAGACTTACCTGCCCAAGTCTCACCTGCCCAAGTCTTACATACCCAAGCTCTACCCACCAGACTTACTGCCCGTCTTACATACCCAAGCCTTACCTGCCCAAGTCTCACCTGCCCAAGCCTTGCCACCCAAGTCTCACCTGCCCAAGTCTTACTACCCAAGCCCACTCCCTCCAAGTCTTACCCGCTTACACCCAAGCTTTACCTACCAGTCTTACCTTCTGCCCAAGTCTCACCTGCCCAAGTCTACATACCCAAGTCCACCTGCCCAAGTCTTACATACCCAAGCCCACCTGCCCGTTTACATTCCACCAAGCCTTACCTGCCCAAGTCTCACCTGCCCAAGTCTTACATACCCAAGTCTCACCTGCCCAAGTCTTACATACCCAAGCCTACCTGCCCAAGTCTTACCTGCCCAAGTCTTACATACCCAAGCCTACTCCATCCAAGACTTACCTGCTTAAGTCTTAATTCGCCCAAGTCTTACCTGCCCAAGTCTCACCTGCCCAAGTCTTACATACCCAAGTCTCACCTGCCCAAGTCTTACATACCCAAGCCTTACCTGCCCAAGTCTTACCCACCAAGCTCACTCTACCCAAGCCTTACCTGCCCAAGTTTTACCTACCCAAGACTTACCTGCCCGCTTCCTACTCCACCAAGTCTTACTCTGCCCAAGACTTCACCTGCCCAAGTCTTACCCACCCAAGTCTTACATCCAAGCCTTACCTACCCAAGCCTTACCTGCCAAAGTCTTACCTACCCAAGTCTTACATACTCCAAGCCTTACCTACCCAAGCCTTCACCTGCCAAAGTCTACCTTGACCCAAGTCCACTCCACCCAAGCCTTCACTCACCCAAGCCTTACTCCCAAAGTCTTACTTACCCAAGTCTTACATACCCAAGTCTTACCTACCCAAGTCTTTACCCACTAAGCCTTACTCACCCAAGCCTTACCTGCCCAAGTTTTACCTTACCCAAGACTTTACCCACCTGCCTTACCTGCCCAGTTTTACCCACCCAAGACTTACCTGCCCAAGTCTTACCTACCAAGCCTTACCCACCCAAGCCTACCTGCCCAAGTCTTACCCACCAGTCTTACCTACCAAGCCTTACTCCACCCAAGTCTTACTCTACCCAAGTCTTACCTACCCAAGCCTTTACTCACCCAAGCCTTACCTGCCAAAGTCTTACCTACCCAAGTCTTACATACCCAAGCCTTACCTGCCCAAGTCTTACCTACCCAAGCCTACCTACCCAAGCCTTACGTGCCCAAGTTTACCTACCCAAGACTTCACCTGCCCAAGCCTTACCTGCCCAAGTCTTACATACCCAAGTCTTACCTACTGTACTAAGTCTTACCTACCCAAGACTTACCTGGCCAAGTCTTACCTACCCAAGCCTTACCTACTAAGCCTTACTTGCCCAAGTTTTACCTACCCAAGACTTACCTGCCCAAGCCTTACCTGCCCAAGTCTTACCTACCCAAGCCTTACCTACC